GAGGTAACCATGTTGAGAAGTCGTCCATTTATTTTGGTGAACGGAGAATTCTCAGGGACCCTTGATACTAACTCTTTGATCTAAAAAGGTACTCGTACAAGATTGACTTGGATTTTATTCCTGCGAGTGGGAATCATGTCCTACAAAACAGAACAAAGATGAATCTCAAGATCCTTGAAATGGTTAGTCTAAAATGCTATGGTATGATACCATGATGTTATGTACAAGCATATACACAAGTAAATCAAACAAATCCTTGGGTTTAGGCTTGCATGAAGTTAATAGGTAAGTACCCTCTTGAAGTTTAGTTAGTTCAAACTGTCCTAGAAAGTAAGCGGGTTCTAGGGAATCTCAATATCACTGATCTTTCTTCATCGGGAATTGTTTCAGCGCAAGCCTCTTTATTGGCGATCGAAATATCTCGAAAGTATGATCTCAATGAGCATAGTATCGAGTATCAACCAACTTTGGAGTGCACCAAAGCGGCTACCTCACTACTTCCTAATGGCCAAGTTGTTCAAGTAAGGTTCTAAAGTCGGTTAGTGCTTCATGACACCACACAGCGGCCCCATATTCTCCTTTGACTACTCAAGGGCTACCAGTACCAAGAAATGTGTCACACTAACATAGCTATTGCTTTGACCATGTCGGTATACCCCGCACAATTTCCATAACTTATTGCTACTTACCTAAAAAAGGTGCCCCAGATCCGTGTAGAGGATCAAAACAAGCCCAAACAAGGAACCATAATGTAAAGCAAGCAAGTCAAACAATAAAAGGAAAGTAAATATGATTTATCCCTAAGGTAACCCCACTTTTAAGTTTTTCCCTAGCAAAGTCGCCAATTCTGTAATACGGTGGGAGAACTGACTTGGGTGTTTTGCGTTTGATCACAATTGTTGCGGATAGCAAGAGTCACCATCGACTTTTCTTTTATCCAATAAGGAAAGGGTGAAAAGAACAGGAAATACCTTTGAGATTATTTTCTTGAGTTCGGGGGGTAGGTTATGAAAAGGTAAGGTATTAGCACCATTTTCATCCGTAGTTATCTACAGGCTCTTAGTTGCTTTCTAGATCACTTGCTTTTGTTTGAAAATGTGCTTGTGGTGTGGGTTTGAAAGTATTTTGAAAATGTCTTTGTAATGGTTCTCGTTTCTATAAGAATGTGTACAAAGTGTTGTTTTTTTTAAAATAGTTCAAAGAGGTGTTTGTGGAATGTGTTTTTGAAATTGATTTTGAAAAGGTGTCTTTGTAATGGCTCTCGTTTCTATAAGAACATGTACAAAGAGCTTTTGTCTTTTGAAAATGTTTTAAAATGAAAGTGTTGGTGTATGAAATGTTTTTGTTGTGAACAAGCGAGCAACTAGGAGGATCCTACCTACTCAAAAGGCCTTAATGTTCTTTTCCTCCTCCTTTAGATGTTGCTATCTTACCATTGATTTGGTAAGAAGCCCCGTTGTTGGATGTAAAGGGACGAGCGTGTGAAGTTTGTATAGTCATAGAAGGCAACCTATGGAATGTTTTAGCAATTTTCGTTTAAGGACTAGATCATTTACCAGAGGCAACATTGAGGGACATCGAGGGACTACGATCTTTTATCGAGGGTCTTTGCTAAAACACCCATATTCTAGGGACATGACTATTTCTCTGAGGCAACAAGTGAGATTACCCTAAGGGTGCATGTGTGTGGATAGTGTGTTTGATTGCTTGCATTTTGTCTTTTAATTTTAGGTTGTCTACTTGTTGGTTTTATCTTTCCATACATCATCATTACTAACATTTGTACAAAAGCAATAAAAAATGAAAAAATAAATCCTACACTATTACAACCATATTGAATAGTAATAAAATATAATGACAAAATAAAACAAAGAAAGGAAAATGGGCTTTTTCGATTCAGGCAGCCACACTCTTTGATTCTGCACTTGGCTTCCTTCGATTTGGGCCTGGAGTCAGCAAGGTCAGGTCTTTGGATTTCACCCTTTGTCTGCTTCCTTCGATTGGGGCCTGGAAGTCAGCATGACCATCCCTCTTGTTGCTTCCTTCGTTTGAGGCCTTGGGTTAACGTGAAGTGCGTTCTTTTCCTCAGGCTCCTTGCTGCCTCCTTCGACTGCACGCATTCTAGGCCCTCAGGTTGAGATTCGAAAGTCTTGAGTGCTTAGCCAATTGAAGGATACAGTGAACCTGTTTTAAACTTTTAAAATGCAACATTCAAGTGTAACTTTCAAAATCTACAGGCCATGGGTTAGCACAAAATTATTGGGTCTCAAAGTCCAAAGCCTAACTAACCAGGGTTGAGATTTTCAACATATGGGCAGTCATAAACGAAGGTCAAAACATGGTCAAGCTCCCTATGTGAGATATCTACATTTTCTCTTTATTGACATGTACACATGATATTTAAATGAAATAGTTCCAAGTTTAAAGAGAACTTACCTCTTGAAGTTCTTAAATCGAAGGAAACTGCAAGTGTCTTCCTTGGTAGTGAATGGAAGTTTGTTGGGGCCTTCTTGAGACTAGTCCAGTTACTACTTTGTTAAAGCAGTCACTGAATCGAATGAGGATGTGTAAGTGAATCGAAGGTTTCTCTATAACAAGTAAATGAATGAATTAAAGGATTATTATATTGTGGTTGGGGGAGTCGGTCTAAGGTTAGTTATCTGGTCACTTGGGGAGTGAATCGAAGGATTCACTTAGTGTGCAAAGGGGGCTGGGTTTTTTAGAAGTGTTTGGAATATTAGATAAAAACGTTGGATGGTGTTTGAGAGTTTTGAGGAATTTCTCATAACAAGGGTTTTCTTGCAACTACTCAAAGGCCCCTAAGATGTGTGGTGGAGGCTCATATTTATAGGAAATTTTGGCTGATGTTTTAGAAGGGAAAATAAAAAGTTTAAACAAAAAGCATGTTGTGTTTATAGCATTCGAGAGGCAGTATCCATATGCCAAATTGGTGCAAGAACGTGCCCAGTGTTTCAGGACTGCTGTACAGCTGTTTTGGAGTGTTATGGCTAGTGTATCAGGCCTGAACCTAGCAGCGCATGGGACTTGGTCAGCAAGTAACTTTGGGCATCTTAACCTTTTGTTTTGACCCTCTAGCCCTATCCTTCAACCAAACTCCTCAACAACATTTCCTTTTTTTTCAAATCAAAGTTTCCTTCGAAGGGCTCATATGGGTATCCTTTGAAGGGGCCCAAACGGGTGTCCTTTCGACCATGCTTTTTGTGGGTTCCTTCGAATGCTCCAAATACATGCTCCTAGAGTGGATCAATAAAACATGTCATTCGATTGGGACATCCAAGCATGTCTGGCAAGTCCTTCGAATGTGCCACCATGGTACTTCTTTCGCACGAGACAATGACATACTGTAGAACTTGTGTGTTGAAGCAAACTATTTCCAAGGGAGATACTTCCCACTCAAACTTGCCTACAAGGGGTCATATGGTCAAACGAAAGGGCGTATGTAGGGGGTCCCTGCTTTGTGACTTCATGCAAACATGTAAGATATCTTTGCTCAAACAAAGGCTTGCATGAAGGGAGCCACATGCCCAAATGAAAGGTGTAACCAAAACTTGTACTGAAGGATCCACACGTCCCAAACAAAGAATGCATGTCGAGGATAAAGGGCACAATCGAAGCTTACAATAAAGGAGGGCCACGTGCCCCAAACGAGAGAGGCATGCAGAAGGAAAATTGTGCAATCGAAGGAGACCAGAAAAGAGGCCTTTGCCTCCTGAATCGAAGGACATCAATCAGAAGGCTCTTTGCCTTGTGGATTGAAGCTAGTTGATGCTAAGTGTTGCCCTGTCGAAGCTTGCAACAAGTTGTTTCAAAGGGTGACTTTGGCCTTGTGCATGCTAGCATGGTGGGGAATTCTGCCTTGTAAATTTGGATAAAATGCAGGAAGGAAGCTATATAGCCAAACAAAAGATTTGCACGAAGAGAATAAAATGTTCAAACGAAGTCTAGTGCCTAAACGAAGCAGGAAATGAACTTTCCCAAAAGAAGTCAAGTTCCCAAACGAAGGGTCCAACTAAAGCTTACATCGAAGGAGCAAAGTTCCCAATCGAAGGATGTAAAATCAAAGAGAACTTGTTTTTCCTTCAATTTAGTCAAAAAGGACATTTTCATCTATTTTGCCCTTTTTAGAAATTTCCTCGTTTAACTTGATGATGAAAAATCCAATTGTATTTGTGTAAGCTTGAATTTTTTAGAATCCTTGTGAGAAATGTCTTGAGAAATGATAGGGAAAATTTTGGGGTACAACACCACCCATTATCCAACTAATTGTCGTAACAGTTTCCAGATCACTAACAAAAAACCAGAAAAATAACTTCCTCTTTAACAGAATTTTATAACTAACATTCTAACTTCACACCCTCGCCATTCATTTCTTCTCTAACAGAATTCTAAACTAACTATTAACAGAATTCTTTTATCAAAATTGTATTCTAATTCTAACAGAACTAATAATAGTTTTTTTATAACCAATTCATAACAGAATCCGATTTGTAACTCCCTCTAACTAAACCCTCACCAACTGTCAAAACAGATTATAACTAACTCTTGTAACTGTCTTAACCAACTCCCTAACAAATTCTACAACTATTTATAATAAACTCAGATAACAGAAAAGAGAGGAGAGAGTTGAGAGTCACATAACAGAAACGAGAACTTTAAAAACTCACTAGAAAAAAGCTCTCATCTTCATTCATCTCCTCATCATCTTCACGCACTCAACCTTCACCAAGCCGCATTCTTGACCCTGCGGAAGAATCATGAGAAATTTATCATTCTCTCACTCTCTGAAATTCATCTTCACCCTCCTCTTCTCTGAACCTCTTCGTTTCACTACATCATCTTCATCTTCTACTTCATCATAAATCTTCTTTCTTTATCTACGAGAATAATGCAAATCTCCATCATCATCATCATCATCATCATCATCATCTTCATCGCTAATCTCAACCTGTCATCAACGACGTATCACTATAAGCACAATGTCACTGCAGTAATAAAAACGCAGAAATGCGGAAATTCAGAGGAAGAAGATTCAGAATCGCAAGCAAAAATAAGAAGAATCGAGAATGAAATGCTTGCTTGGAAAAGCGTATTATTATCTCCGGATTTCTGGTAGGGTTCTCGTCGTCGCAAAAACACCGCACTTCTCTCTGGTAGATGAAACCGTCGATCTGAGATGAAGCTGAAGGTCGGAGGAAGAAATCACTGGTGATGAAGGGAGTTATGCCATGGAATCTAAAAGGAGATATGAAGTTTTTGCGATAGCGAGAAGGAGCTTTGTTGATCGGAAGGAGATCGCGATGTTGAGACAAACCGCGATTGAGAGGGTGACGAACGAAATGTGTGGTCGTGGAGGAACCACGCATTTACGGTGGCGCTGTAAGGGATTTGAAGAAGATTCGGGATTTGAAGGAGAAAGATCTTTCATTTCTAGGGAGCTGAAGCATCGCACAATGTTGAACCTAACACCAATCTTCCCCAAACGACCATGTATTCCCTTGTTTTTTTTCTTCAATTTTTTATCTTCATTGTCACTGCATTTTTTTGTTTAACAGGATTGGATACATTATGATGAAGAATTAATATAGAGTTGGATTTGGAGTGTGGACCGAGTTCCACTAGGCCCATCACATTTTTTTGGGAACCATTGGTGGAGCAAATAAAGGGATTGGGCTCATGGTGGTTGGATTGAAGCAATCAGGCCCATTTCCGTTTTTTTGTGAAGTGTGAAATTATGGTGGCAAAAAAAATAGTTGTTTGTAGAATCACATTGTTGGGCCTTAGTGCTAGCTTAATTCACCATAGGCTTTGATCCAGTTTTTTGCACCCCCGAGCCTTGTTTTTTTTAATTTGCAAATTTTGTTAAATAAAGTTGTTAATTGTTTGGATTTGTTCTATTTTTCTCATGATAAAAAGTAAAAGTCTAATATAAAAATTCATTGAATTTTTTATTTGATTTTAGGAATTAAATCTCGATTATCCGATTACTTGAGATTGGTAATTCACCTTTGCTTGTTGATATTTGAGTCTAATTCAGGTTTATTGTGCGATATGTGGTTACGCTTGAGATATTGATTATGATTTATTTTCACATCGATGATGCTTCGACGCTCATTCTGAACTTTTGATTTCTGACTCTTTTCTTTGATTGGTGAAGCTTTCATGAAGATTGTCGTGTCTCTTTGTTTTTATATGCTTTGCTACGGATTGATATTCGTTTGGTATTTTCTCTTGTTTATCTCATTTCACACTTTACTGCTTTCTAGATATCATGATGTGATACGGTGGGAGAACTGACTTGGTTTTTTTGCGTTTGATTGCAAATGTTGCAGATAGCAAGAGTCGCCACCGACTTTTCTTTTATCCAAAAGGAAAGGCTGAAAAGAACAGGAAATACCTTTAGAGATGTTTTCTTGAGTTCGGGGGGTAGATTATGAAAAGGGAAGATATTAGCACAAATTTCATCCGTAGTTATCTACGGGCTCTTAGTTGCTTGCTAGATCACTTGCTTTTGTTTGAATGTGTGCTTGTGGTGTGGTTTTTGAAAGTATTTTGAAAATATCTTTGTAATGGTTCTCGTTTCTATAAGAATGCGTACAAAGTGTTGTTTCGAAAATAGCTCAAAGAGGTGTTTGTGGAATGTGTTTTTGAAAGAGATTTTGAAAAGGTGTCTTCTTTGTAATGGCTCTCATTTCTATAAGAATGTGTACAAAGTATTGTCTTTTGAAAATGTTTCAAAGAGGTGTTAGTGTATAAAATGTTTTTGTTGTGAGCCAGCGAGCAACTAGGAGCAAATCTACCTACTCAAAAGGTCTTAAATGTTCTTTTCTTCCTCCTTTAGATGTTACTATCTTACCATTGATTGATAAGAAGCCCCATCATTAGATGAGTAGGGACAGACGTGGGACGTTTTGTGTAGTCATAGAAGGCAACCTATGGGACGTTTTAGTAATATCGTTTAGGGAATGGATTGTTTACCGAAGGCAACATCGAGGGTCATCGAGGGACTACGATATTTTATCGAGGGTCTTTGCTAAAACACCCATGTTCGAGGGACATGGCCAATTTCTAAAAGGAAACAAAGCGGGATTACCCTAAGGGTGCTAGTGTGTAAGTGTGTTTGATTTACATGCATTTTGTCTTGATTAGGGTTATCTATTTGTTGATTTTTATCTTTCCATACAAATCCTAATTACTAGCATTTATATGAAAGCGATAAATTGCGAAACGTAAATATTCTAAGCTATTAGAATCATTAGGGGGATGGGGTGTACAAATTTACAAATGGGGATTGCAAGAAATTAAAGTCCTAATTATCTATTACAACCATATTGAAATAATGTACAAGAATTGAATTGGACTTGTTTTGTTTTTGTTAAGAAAAGAAATAAATTGGCTTAAGAAAATATTTTTGATCTTTTGGTTTAAAAAGATATAAAATAAAGTATGTAAATATAAAAATGTTTTTTTTTTTGCTGTTTTTGGTTATTAAAAGCTAAAACAAGATAAATAAGAGAAAAAGGAGTCAGAATCAGCACATTACTGAAACGGAAAGGAATAGAAGTTCTGACTCTGATACGTTGTAAGAGAGAAAATGTTAGTAGGAAAGTAAAGGGTCAGAAGTTCTAGGCCTGGGTACACCAAGTTCTGAGATTACTGGGAATAAAGGAAAACCTAGAAGTTATGATTTTTGAAGGGGTTCAGAAGCTATAGCGTAGCTGGGAACCTAGAAGTTCATATATCACTGGCAAGTCAGAAGTTCTGGCTATTTGAGAGAGTGAGGTGATACTGTTGTTGGGTAAGGTTGTCTAGAAGTTCTGATTTTAGGAATATTGTTTGACAGATAAATGGGTGAAAATGTCATTAAATAAACATAAAAAGATGCTTTTGGGGTTAGAATCCAGGACCCTTAGTACTAATGTCTTATGCGCGCGCTTTCTACCACTGGGGTGGCTGTACAACCGGTATTAGAAGTAAAAGAATAAACATGTATTACAAAGTAAACTCTGATGATAAATTCTATCTCTTTGTTCATGTTAATCAGAACATCTGCAACTTAGTCAATTCTCAATAGAACAGAAAACACAAACATAACAATTATGGCATGTTTCCATCATGGTTTCAGAAACATAAAAAATGTCAAGGCTGTAAATCAGAAGCAAACATGTATATGCTAATCCTAGTTTCCTTAAGAAGTTCTGAACTGTTGTTCTCCCTACTTACGCAGACAAATACATGAAACCTCAGAATATGTACAACATCAGAATCAAGATGTCTACATTGTATTTTGGACATGCAAGTTTAACAATGCCTAAGTGATATGATGAGAGTCAGCAGAAGCTTACCTTGCAACTGGAGAAACTCCTGTAAACTAGAGCCTGGTTCTGACTGCTTGTAATGTTCTTATCAGCTTCCTCATGTGCTCAGCATACTGGAACAACCTTTAACTTGGGTTACGAATGGTTGGAAAATTCAGAAGCTGTATGAATGATTTGGTCAAGAAACACTTGAGGGAAGTTGGAGTTTGAATGCAAGAATAAAAAACTAGCAGGTTTTGTATTTGTGTTTGCAGTTTCAGATTCCTGGAATTTTTAGCAAGGTTTCAAAGCTTTTTATTTTCAGTTTTTTTTTTCACCGGCCTCCTTTTCACAGTTCCAAATGAAGTTTAATTTATTGGCAAGAATTTTGTAGCTTGGAGAAGTCAAAAGTACATCATCATGCTAGCGTGCTGGCTTGTTCTTGAAGCAAGTTAAACAAGTATGGTGGTTAGCAGCTTTTAGCCATGCCTAAGCTGGATTTGTAAGCATGAATTAAGGAAAAGTACCCTCAAAAGCAAAAGCAAAGCATGGGCCCAGCATACTCTTGTACAAAAGTTTGCTTTTTCAAGGACAACAATGTACTTCTATGTCACATGTGGGGAAATCCTTTGGATAAAAACTCAAAAGTGGTTGTGAGCATTAAATGATGATGAGATTTATCAAACCAGAAACCCTAAAATGTGAGGTTATGCATCATAGCTTAATTCTGGGTCAGAAGTTCAGCATCAGCGTAACTTAGAACCAACATCCAACTTCTGATCTTTTATTCTCTTTGCTCCAGCACATTCTGAGCGAGTTCTCAGACTTTACAGAAAGCTTATGACATGCTTTGTAAGCCCTCTTTGAATTACTATTGCAACTTCTGACTGAACCTACGTGAAAACTGGCGCAGAAGTTGTAGACAACTTCTGACTTGAAAATGCTCAGAATTTACTTAGTGCTTAAGTTTCAGAGACGTGTCTTTGAAGACGTACAACTTAAAATCCCAACACTTCTAGAAGAAGTTCTGTTCTGCAATGTTTTGGGTCTCATTGAGATCTAAAAATCTTGTGTTAGAATTTCTTTCAGAATCAGCTTACATCATGGTGGAAATCTGGCCAGAAATTCTGAATTTGTCATATTTCTTAAACACTTAGAAAATTTTTAAGTATTTTGACTTTTCCAAAATAATTTTGACTTTTGAATTTCTTGATGAAACAAACTACATATTTCAACATGTCTTGATGAAATATGACTCTTGAACTTGACTTTGATCCAAAAGTCAAAGTTTGACTTTTCAGTATGCAAATGACCATTTTGCCCTTGTGAATGACTTTCTTGGAAAATTTGTAATTCAAGGCTTGGAATTGGATGGAAGTAAACTTGAGGGTCCAAGATGATCCTTTGAGAAATGAGAGGGCAAATTTTAGGGTACAACAACTGCCCCTGTTCAATCTTCTTATGCTTGAAGAGTTAGATTGGAGAATCTGTCATTCGTGAGTTGAAGGTGGAAGATGATTGAACACTAGAGTGCCCAGAAATTTGCACTTGATGATGTCGTGGTTAATTGTGTAGGGAATGGGCTTAACAGATGCCATCCGAAGGTGATTGTTGATGGAAATTAGACTAAGTCTAAACTTGATTTCAACTGGAAAAGAATCCTAATAAATCTTAGAACGACTTATCTGAACCAGAGAAACTGTCTGCGGGAAAGAATTAGGATAAACCATTGAGAGATTTAAACTGAACCAGCAGTGGTCTGGAGAAGAATCATAATAAATCTTGGAGCGAATTATCTGAACCAGAGAAGATGTCTGCGGGAAAGAATCAGGATAAACCGTTGAGAGATTTAAACTAAACTAGTAGAGGTCTTGAATTTTCTTTATCTGGAAAGAATCAGAATAAATCTTGGAGCGATTTATCTGAACCAGATAAAAATATCTACCAGAAAGAATCAGGATAAACTGTTGAGAGATTTAAACTGAACCATTAGAGGTCTGGAAAGGATCATAATAAATCTTGGAGCGATTTATCTGAACCAGAGAAAATGCCTACAGGAAATAATCAGG